TAAGGTGGTTGCAAGAAACTAGCACTACAGCGTCTACCAAAGTCCGCTTTCGGTTTGAACATGCCACACACAACACTCTGCAGAAGTCGCATCCGGCCACAGACAACCGTATGCAACAATATGACACATCTTTTGGCTGTAACCCGGCACCACGCAGCGGATATACTTCCAAAAAACATATTGTAGGATACACAATCCAACAACTCTTGTTTCAAGTCTGCAGACCACACCCGAGGTGACCTCGTTATGTTGTTCAGGCGAAGGTAAAACCTGTTATTCTCTTCCTGCCTGATTGCGGCGCGCAGGGACGAAAGTCGCCTGACACCAATGACATAATGAGGTACTTTGATCAGACTTCCCCACTCCATCGCGGAAGCAAATTTGTAGTCCTTATGCCATGGGCATTTCCTTGCCAAGATGGCTCTATCCCATTCTGCCTCGGACAACGTATCGATAGGCTTGTCAAAGAAGGGGACGACGGTCATCCACTAGTCGTTTTCGGTATCGCCTCCTTAACCACGGAATCCGCATGCACAAGGGTGAATGGGACATGCATAATCATGTCGATGGTCCATGACTCCTGTCGCACTCCCTACACAAGACATGAAATGTGAACAAAATGAAAATGAAATATCACAATAGTAGAAAAATCGCCTTAATGATGAACTTAACTTCGAAAATTGTTGAACCATCACCAACCATCTTAAAAAATTAAACCGTAGACCGTGGACAAAATTCGCTACGCAAAATCATTGCAAAAATAATATGCTACATTCTGAATTCTTGTCCCTTCAAACACTTATTTTACAAAAATTTCACTCCCCCACTCTACCAGGTGAACGTGCACTAATCGCTCTTGTCCCCTCCATCTACACTCCCTTCACCAGATGGACTCAGATCCAGAAGTGCAGCTTCAACACTTAATCGAACACTGGAAGGAATGACAAGTCCAGTTGTGAATGGTCTTGTACCACGGACTGGTCTCTCCCAACCAAAAGCGATCGAGTCAGCATTCTGCCATTGTGTCTGGTAGGTCATTTTCCATCGTTTTCCCCATGCGTTCTCATACAGTTGTTCGAGCGACTTTGCTCTCCCAGTCGGCACTCAATATTCCACTAGCACTTGATTATAATTTTGCGAATTATAATCAACAACCACCCGAGAAAGAGCTTTGCCCACCCAGATTGGCACACCGCTGGACAAATCATCGTCGGAGGGGTGAAGGATAAGAAAAGTCCTCATGTCAACATGCACGAGGGGGTCGAAACTAGTCTTCGGACGATTTTTTTCTTCGTCCAACAAACAGGGGTTCCCTGTCGTCGTCGATGTTGACACTGTGAGGAGAAGGTTGTTGATCGATTTCGAGCAGCCTTGGTCTAGGCTAAAAACGTTTTTGAGGTTGCGAGGATAACCCGTTGACGATGATCTCATCTTCATGTTTGATAACCTCCTCCCAGTAACACAAAACTCTTTCTCTCCTACTCACCTCATGGTCATTGTAAGTGCACCACGTCGATCGCCTACTCTCGCGGAATCGAACAACACCATTTTTGCCATTCAAATAGTCATTTCGAGGAAGGGGTTGCACATGAGGCGGGTCAAACGGCCATGAAGGACCTGCATAGTTTTCATCAGGGTTTTGATTGAACCAAAAAACCGGACCTTCTGCAGGCAACCAGTTGTCATCATCGCAAAAATCCTTGTACAGCATGCCCAGATTATCTCCAACCATCAAAAATTTAAGCAAGTGCGGTTTTGAAGAACTCGTGCATAGTATCAGCGTCTACGTCTTTCAATCCGGGCATAGTATAAACGTCTACGTCTTTCAATTTCTTCGAGAAAACGATGAAAGTAGTGTCAACGTCTGTATGGGTATGTCCCACCAGCATGAAACATATTTCTAGCTCTTCGAAAACTCCGAACTTAACCAATAGTGCAGCCATCGCACATATGTACTTGTTCTTGTTTTTCCGCCAACAATTATCTCCTTGAATGCGCGAAAACCGTGGCAATGGCATCCCGCTCTCTTGAATTTCGACAAGGGTTCTCATAACACAAGTAGCGACCGTGTTCGAATCGTGTTTGAAATACGGAAACCACGTGTATACATATATACAAGGGTCTTTACCACGTGCAATGACGCCTGTCAGATTAGTCTTCATCATCATCTCGTGCCTAAGCGCTTTCGAGTAGTTCACTTGACCAATATAGGGGATATTTATTTTCTTCTGATCCATGTCGTCAATGATGAGACACAAACGCTCATTCGGATGAACCATGGAATCTGTTTTCGCTCGACTGTAGTCCAATCTGTGTTCAACTTGCCTCCTTTGGTGTGCTTTCATATCCTCTCGAGCTTGTTCTCGATCTCGAGGAAGAGAAACATATTGTATATGTTCCTTCAGTTCATGACAGACGGCGCACTTCGTGAACGTGTTAGAGTGCGCGAGGGAAATGTGGAAAAAGTGTCGCCGCCATAGTTTATAAAAGTTGGACTCAGACACAACATCGAGGCCAGCAGCCAGAAAGTCTGATTTGATGGACTCATAAATTGATGTCTTCGTGAAAGCAGCCGGGAGTCGAAGCTTCGGTCTTGAAACCCCACCTTGGTTAGCCACCTCATTCGGCATGCTATCCGCATGACACTCGATGAATGTTCTCATGCTGGCAAGCATGGAGACCGTTTTATCGGTTCGCCGATATCTTCCCGTCAGGCCATGCTCGGAACGCATGTAGCCATTGTCAAAATGCTTTTTGTAGCTGTAAAATGTATTACGCGAGACACCGAGTACATTGCAGTACGCCCTGATGCACATCGAACGTTCCAACTCCACAGGGCGGATACGTTTCTGTCCACCCTCATTTACTGTGAAATCCTTAATACTTTTCATCTACCACTCGACTTGCTCTCCCGGAATCTTACTGTACAGTCCTTGTCTAACCTTTTGCACTTCCTCTGGCAACACATCGTAACAACATCAAGCCTTGAAATATGCCATGCCACGCACCATGAGCAGTCATTTTTCGGACAGCATGTTTCTCGCTCTTTTGTACTGTTCTTTCCTTCGAGCATTTCTATTAGCCATGCGATACCTTCGTCTTTCGCCTGACAGAGGTGCGGGCAAAATCTGCAGTATCGCCCTTCTCTCTACATCACCCCTGCCAGACGCTTCCGACCCAGACTGACTCTCAATTGGATTCACATCATTACTTTGCACTTGCGTTGGACTCGCCCATGCTGTGGAAAGTTCCTCCGACGAATAGTCGGTGGCAACCAACTTCGTACTACTGGAGCTAGCGCGAAGCAAAGGTCCATTGGAAGAGGACTGTTGTCCAAACGAGTAATTAGTGGTCACCAACTGCTTACTCTCGTCATCAGATAATGCGTAAGAAACACCCATTGGCACGCAACTGCTGTGCGCCGAAGCTGTGGGGTGCACCTCACGAGGAATGTGGAACTCGATCCGGGAGGTAGACGGTTCTTTGCCCGCGGACGTTGTTGCCAAATCTGTAGGCAGTTGGATGCAACCTTCAAAGCTCTCACGAAAAGCGAGATTCCGTTTTTTGGGGAGAGCTGCAATGGACTGCTGGAACGGCGAACTGTCCGAAGAGGTCGTCGGGGCCAATTCTAGGCGTTGTAGCTGGTAATGCAAGTCGACGGCTTGTTCAATTTCCATACCCCGGTTCATGTGGTCGTTCGCCGAGCCGTCTTTCGCGCCGTCATGTAACTGTAGGTGCAGCGGATGCGATTCCCGTCAGCGTAATCGATTAATCTCTCTTGTGCGGATTGAACGGGTCATTCGAATTCGTGTCCACACCCTGCAAAACAGCGGAGCAAACTGTAAGCACGAATACTAAAGAAGGGCTAACCTCCCCCCCCTTCCCCAAACCCCCCCGCTCCGCAGAGCCGATTCCCAGCGCAACAGCCGAACAGGGCGAGCTCGTTTGAAGGCGATCACAACCCCTGCAACCAAATTGCCGCACATGGGGTGTCATGGACGATTTCACAATCCGCGACATGCGAAGTGCGCCGATATCTGAACTCGGCAGAGATCGAAGTCCTTTGAATGCCTGAAATGCATGTGCCGAAGGGAAGCCGAATTTTTCTCACATCGACTCCGGCGCTAAGAATTGCCCCAATAGAGAACGGAGACAACCTTCCCCCTTTTGCTTTTTATACTTTTGTAGTTGGACGTTGAGGTCCGTAGCAGCTGTCAAAGTCAAACCCATTGACCTTTTTAAAGGCCTCCGTAGATGGAACTCAGGTGCTACACAGGGCCTTGGCGCCCCTACCCGTCGCTCCCGCAGGTAGTTGAAGAGGGTAGGTAACGCAACCGTCTTGGCGGTTGTTTAGCGTCAAGAGGCAAGTCCCTCAAGGCGCGTGTCAGCCGACACTTGAGTGTCGAATGAGACCCTCGACAACGCCGAGGGCCAGGCGAGTATGGACAACATATAACATGCCATCACTTCGATAGTTTGCGAACTCATGCATGGCCAGTGTTTATGAGGAAGCCTGTAATGCGGCCCACATTAATAGATGTCTACCCGCGCTGCCTTCATGTGGTCGGTGATATTTGGTTATGGGCCGGACACTCCACCGGCCAGGCGTGAATCTATGTTGTTAATTTGTCGACACATTTTTGTTTGTATGTTGCGCCCAGCAGGACGTGTCCTATCAGGAGTTAGACGTGCACAATAGACGGTCGAACTGTCGCGGACCACAGAAGTCCGCCGGGATCTAAACTTCGCAGAAATGGAATCGACGGCTAACCGGTTATCAACGAGTCACTGTGAACTGACTGTCGGCCAATCGTCTTTACGAATGCAAGGCTATGACAGGCAGGAGACAAAAAACAACATGGCTCAATGACCCTCAGCCGACCCCTGCAAACCCCGATTAACTGCACGTCGATTCGAACGTTGTGCGTTGGGACTCAAAGCCTTTGCAGCCCGCGCGGCTTCGATACCGAAGCACCTTCGTAATGTCGACACCCTACTGCGCGAACCGCAAGCCAGGCCGTGGAAGAAGCATGACAGCGACTAAACCACACTTATCGCGATGTTCGCTTTTATTGGAGGGCAACGAAGATCGACGACATACAAGAAATGGACCCGGCCACTGACACCGTCGTCAACCCCAATAAACCCCTTTTAGGGCAATTCACAAGGCGAGCACTTTTGCGCACTACCAGGCCGCCGGCATTGAAGACGGACGGGGAAGTCGAAGTTGTTGAAAATAACGGTTCGATTTACGCGGAGCCTCAAAGTTCGCCGGGATCCGAATTTGGCGGGTGCTGGAGTAGCCAGGAACCTGTTTTCGCGCCGTCGGTGCCAGTGGAAGGGAGCGCAAGCGGGTGCACACAAGGAACGCTATGTCTGGGCGCACAGAAGGAAGGCTTTGCCGCTCTCAAGTTTTCGTTGTACGACAGCACGCGCAGAACAAAGGGTAATTGTGGATGCACCACCACACAATTTGGCGCAGCGCAACCCCAAACTGACCCCTATAAACACCGATTCTCACCATTGTCTAATCAGATGTATTAGCACAAGAGGTTGTCGAACTCGGACATGTACACTGCGCAGACACAAAAAAATTAGAATGACTTTTATTGGAGGGCAACGAAGATCGACGACGTACAGGAAATGGACCCGGCCACTGACACCGTCGTCAACCGCAATAAACCCCTTTTAGGGCAATTTCAAAGGCGAGCACTTTTGCGCACTACCAGGCCGCAGGCATTGAAGACGGACGGGGAAGTCGAAGCTGTTGAAAATAACGGTCAGATTTACACGGAGCCTCAAAGTTCATCGGGATCTGAATTTGGCGGGTGCTGGAGTAGCCAGGAACCTGTTTTCGCGCGGCCGGTGCCAGTGGAAGGGAGCGCCAACGGGTGCACATAAGGAACGCCATGTCTGGGCGCACAGAAGGAAGGCTCTGCCGCTCTCAAGTTTTTGTTGTACGATAGCACGCGCAGAGCAAAGGGTAATGGTGGATGCACCACGACACAATTCGGCGCAGCGCGACCCCAAACTGACCCCTATAAACACCGATTTTCACCACCGTCTAATAAAATGTACTAGCACAAGAGGTTGTCGAACTCGGACATGTACACTGCGCAGACACGTAAAATTTAGAATGACTTTTATTGGAGGGCAACGAAGATCGACGGCATACAGGAAATGGACCCGGCCACTGACACCGTCGTCAATCCCAATAAACCCCTTTTAGGGTCATTCACAAGGCGAGCACTTTTGCGCACTACCAGGCCACCGGCATTGAAGACGGACGGGGAAGTCGAAGCTGTTGAAAATAACGGTCCGATTTATGTGGAGCCTCAAAGTTCGCCGGGATCCGAATTTGGTGGGTGCTGGAGTGGCCAGGAACCTGTTTTCGCGCGGTCGGTGCCAGTGGAAGGGAGCGCCAGCGGGTGCACACAAGGAACGCTATGTCTGGGTGCACAGAAGGAAGACTCTTTCGCGCTCAAGTTTTCATTGTACGATAGCACGCGCAGAACAAAGGGTAATGGTGGATGCACCACCACACAATTCGGCGCAACGCGACCCCAAACTGACCCCCTATAAACACCGATTCTCACTGCGGATTTCTGTGGCATGAAATTTGTTCGAACCAGCGCGGGAATCCGGCTGCTTGCAAGTCCGGATTGCGACGAACGCCGAGGTCTGCGTAATGCGACCAATTTTGCGCACCCAGAGACCTCTGATAATCTAATCACACGCGATAGTCGAGGCCGTTGTAACGGGCGGTTAAATTTTTCGCGGGATCTCAACGTCCGCCGGGATCCGAACTTGGCGGTTGCTGGACGGGCGAGGAACCGGTTTGTGCGGGGTATGTCGGATATTTTGAGGATGGGTGTTGAAGTGCACAGAAGGAACGCTATGCGTGTTTGCATGGTCAGGGAGGCCCTGCTGCTGCTCACAAGTGTCTGTTCGACGAGAGCACGTACAACAAAAATTCAACAGAAATGGTAGTCGTAGGTGCACCACGTTAGAAATCGGTGCAGCGCGGCCCCCAATAGACCCCCATAGATGCCGATTCTCCCCACCGACAAAGCGAGCTTGTGGGGCGATTCAGTCACAAATGTTGTGATCCGTGATGACAATGACTGGACCCACAAAAAAAGAATCACCATGGCTGGTGGCCCCCCCTGCAACCCCATCTAACGACGATTCGTCCAGTCGACAAGGCGAGGCCCGACTCGCTCGCTGCCAACGTCGACATATGATAGCGCGAACCGCCATGCGCGTGGAGACACTGGAATGTCGGTGGCCAGATTGCATGCATGCCGGTGATGACACCATCGTCGGCAACCCCCTCAAACCCCAATGAGGCAATTCGACAGGCTGGCACTTTTGCGCACCCAAAGGTCTCTGGCGACCACAACACATGCGAAAGGTCAGCCCGTCAGAAATGGCCGGTTAGATTCTAGTCGAACCTCAAAGTCCGGCGAGATCCGAACTTTGCGGTCGCCGGAATAGAGAGGAACGGTTTTTTTTGCGGCAAGTCGCATATTGGACGGGCTGATTAGCGGGAAACGCAACGATCCACATCTGAGCTTCAATGGACAGAACCAAAACCCGTCGTTAAGCAGCCTCAAACAGCCCCTACAACCCCCAATTCGTCCCGCAGACAAGGCGAGCTCGCACTCGGGCAATGGCAGGTTCCACAACCAGGTTCATGGGGGTCAATGAAATTCCACAAGATCCGAACTTGCCCTCGGTTCCACTGAGGGACCACGAATAGGTGCCGACCACGAAGTCCGTCCGGATCCGAACTTGACATTTGTTGCTGCGTGTCGACCGGGAGCATGACACACTTTGTTTTTGCTGGGGTCCCAGTGACAGGACTGTTTTTTTGCGGGAACGCCACCCAAAGAATAGTCATGTACCCAGGACTCCGTAAAAATCCATGCAAACCGTAAGCGTGTGATTTCAGCGATGCGGTCGAAACAACAATGACCATGCGAGCAGCTCACGACTTCGCATGCTTCGGATCGCAAGTCCGCCGGGATCCGAACTTCGTGTTGTCGCCCTCGCATGGTGACAACTGGCAGGGCGTTCTGAACTATCGACCCCACGCCCTAAAGTTGGAAAATTTCTCGCAAAAGCTAGTCATCAGGGCACCCGGGAACGACATTGTGACTGCGAACGCGAAACCAACAACCGCCAAAGAAAAACATTGAGTTGCGTGTGAAAACCTGGCGAAAATGGAACTTCGGATGTCGGCGAACTACAACAATCATGCGCTGTTTTCTCAGAGGCGCGTGCTCTCCCAACGACCGCGCGACGGCAACACAATGCCACTTCCGTGAGAGCACTGCGCATGATTGCTGTAGTTCGCCAGTATCCGAAGTTCCCATCTCGCCTGGCAACGACACGCGACTCGTGTTTTTATGTTTGGCGGTTGTTGTTTTTGCGCCTGCAGTCGCAATGGCGACCCCCCGTTCCCCGACGAATAAGACGTGTCCCGGAGGCCGCCGGGTTGTTCGTTATTGAACGAGGCCATTTTTTCGTGTTGAGGTTCTCGTCACGAAACATGCGGCGCTCACGCCGAAGAAACGGCATTGTCATTGCAGCGAGCGGTGTTGTCGTTCTCCATCGCGCGCACGCAACGTGTGCATTCTTCGTCCTGGATCCCGCGGATGTTGCGCGCACAGCACTGGCATTTGTCGTACGCAATGTGCTGTCGCGTCCCTCATGACCTGCGCCAGGGACGTGTGCTCAACATCCGTGGCCTCTATGGTGGATCATGTGCACATTGTGTGCGTGGGATGGAGACGACACCGACTCTCCCGGGATTGACGCCATAGTTTCTCCGGGGAGGGAGGCACAAGTGTTGTGACGAGAACATGAAAACGGAACGACGACCCCCTCCTGTTGATGAAAACCATCCCTCTCACTGCACGCCACGTGGACGGTGGACATCCTTCGCACGGTGGCCACCGCACGATGCTTAATACCAACCGTGGTCGGGCGCAGCCCATGTGGCGCCCGGTGGTCGTTCAACACACCCGCCGCGACCACTGTCTGTCCTGCGAGGGATTCCAACCATCAGTCGTGGATTTGCAGTCCAATGCATCTCCTTTGTGTTAAACAACCTCTGAACTGTTTGATGAGAAAAGCAAACGTGCGAGGAACGTTTGTCGACGGGATCTCGTGTTCTGCTGGAAAAAAGTGATTTCGTGTTTGCCTCAACCACGCGGGAGTGTTTTGCAATGTTCAGTATGACAACCACGTGGGAGTGTTTTGCAATGTTCAGTTGGCTCGTCTTCAATGCCAAGCCAAGCAGGAATCATGGGGCCTGTCGCGAGGAACGAAGGAGTGAGAAGAGAAGGAAATACAAAAACCATCTGGCCGATCGCCAACCCAAGCAGGAATCATGGGGGCGATCACGTGGAACGAGCGAGAGGGAAGCAGAAGGGAACACAGTAACCGTGTGCCCCAGTGTCTTCGTCATCCGTTCCCTCCGTCCCCACCATTTGCGACACGTGCCACGACATGATGATCATCGGGGTGTTGATGAAGATGATGATGATGCTGATTGCGATGCAGATGATGATGATGATGATGATGACGTGGACGGTGGCGATGTTGATGACTACGATGATGTCGATGATGATGATGATGATGATGTTGATGATGTTGTTGATGATGATGAGGATGATGATGATCATGATGATGATGATGATGGTTTTGATGATGATGACAACGATGATGATGATGATGATGATGACGATGACAATGACGATGAGGATGATGACGATGATGATGATGATGATGATGACGATGATGATGATGATGATGATGATGATGATGATGGTAAACAAGAGTCATGGGGCCGCTCGCGAGGAACGAACGAGTGGGAAGCAAAAGGGCATACAAAAACCATGTGCCCCAATGTCATCGACATCCGTTCCCGCTGTCCCTGCAACTTGCAACACGTGGCGCGATGCGGCTGCTCCCATGCGCCGGCAAGCATGTGCGGCGACTGACACGCGGGCAGGCAGAAAACCACTTTACCTTAACGAGGGCACAACGCACACGATGGCGCAACTCTCTGACGGGGCACAATTCCTAGACGAGGCGCAGTTCTTCGACGATGGCAAAGCTCACACGATGGCGCGACTATTCGACAAGGGCTGAGCGCAGACCACGGCGGCCAATTGCTAACGCAGAACGCAAAGAAGGAATGTCGAAGCGCCGACAACTGGACCCCGGTAGCAGGCTGAAGGATGGGAAAGAGTTGGCGACGAGAGGGAACCCTTACACCCACGCCCGCAGACACGTGGCGCAACAGCGGAGCAGCAAAGGCGATGGAGGAGGTCGCCGAAGGGACGTCGCGCGTGAATGCGCTCGTCACGGCTGGAGATGCGAATGGGCTGCACCGGACCCCAGGCAGCGGAGCCCCAAACTATCGTCGCACCCCATGGAAAGACCAGCCTGTGTCCCCCCGCGCGGCCTCAGACCCCACTCGCCAGGCAGGAGACGCGAATGGCCGCGAACCCC